TCTTACAAACTGGGCATTTGCCATGTCTTTCTTTTCTCATATATAAATCTTCATAATTTTGAAAACTTTGATCTTCCTTATAATCCAATACAAACATATATTCTTTTGTAGTTGTAGTTGGGTCTTGTGTTAATCCAATTATAAATGATTTATTGAACTAAAAAAAAAAAATATTTAATTTCAATGATAATGAACAGTATTTAAAAAATCTGAAAAAAAATAATTTACCTCTTTAAGAAACTCATCAGAAATATTTTGTGAATTATACAATTTCCTTAATGCCACAATCCTATCTTTCCAAGTAGCTTTATATATAGTTGCAAAAGCACCTTCACCTATCTTTTCAATATTTATCAAATCATTATGAGGAATCCACTGAAGATAACAATCTTTATAATAACCAGTTGCTTCAAGTTGTGTGTTCTTAATTAACTCATCTAATGTTTCATTGCCACTAGTCCATCCTTCAGTTAATAATTTAGGAACACATGATTGACACCATACATAATTAGTATTATACCTATTACAAATTTGACATTTGCCATATTCTTTTTTTCTCATATATGAATCTTCATAATTTCCATCTTCCATATACCTCATTACAAATATATATTCATTTGTAGCTGGGTCTTGTGCTAATCCATAAATTTTAATCATAAATGATTTACCATAAAACTTAACATACTTTTTGAACTAAAAAAGAAAATTTTGTTAATTTTGATAATGATAATGGAAAATCAGAAAATAAATAATTTACCACATTAAGAAATTCATCAGAAGTATTTTGCAAATTATGTAATTTTTTTAATACTACAGTTGTATCTTCACTAGTTCTTTTGCTGCCATTATTTACAGATTTCCAACCATTTATCCAAGTAGCTTTGTATATAATTGCAAAACTATCTTCGCCTATCTTTTCAATATCTGTCAAAACATTATAAGGAATCCATTGAAGGTAAAAATCATTATCATAACAAGTTGTTTTAAGTTGTGTGCTTTTAATCAACTCATCTAATGTTTCGTCACCACTAGTCCATCCTTTAGTTAATAATTTAGGATCGCATAATTGACACCATGAATAATTAGTATTATATTTATGACAAGTTGGACATTTGCCATATTTTTCTTTTCTCATATATGAATCTTCATAATTTCCATCTTCCATATACCTCATCACAAATATATATTCTTTTGCAGCTGGGTCATGTGTTAATCCATAAATTTTAATCATAAATGATTTACCATAAAGCTTAATGTAATTTTTGAACTAAAAAAAAAATATTTAATTATGACAATAATAATGGGCTGTATTTAAAAAATCTGAAAATAATAATTACCTCATTAAGCAATTCATCAGAAACATTTGATAAATTACGTAATTTTTTTAATGTTACAGTCCTATCTTTTTTGGTTCTTTTTCCAACATTATTTACAGATTTCCAGCCATTTATCCAAGTAGCTTTATATATAGTTGCAAAAGCACCTTCATCTGTCTTTTCAATATCTGTTAAATCATTATGAGGAATCCATTGAAGATAACAATCGTTATCATAACAAGTTGCTTCAAGTTGTGTGCTTTTAATCAACTCATCTAGTGTTTCATTACCACTAGTCCATCCTTCAGTTAATAATTTAGGATCACATAATTGACACCATGAATAATCAGTATTATACCTATTACAAGTTGGACATTTGCCATATTCTTGAAAACTTAGATCATTCAAAAAATGCAATACAAGTATATATTCGTTTGTATTTGGGTGTTGTGTTAATCCATAGATTTTAATTATAAAAAATTTATCATAAAACTTAACATACTTTTTGAACTGAAAAAGAAAAATTATTAATTTGATGATAATAATGAAAAATCAGAAAATAAATAATTTACCTCATTAAGTAGTTCATTGGAAAAACGACCTAATTTTTTTAATGCTACAGTCCTATATTCATTAGTTCTTTTGCCACCATCATTAACAGATTTCCAACCATTTATCCAAGTAGCTTTGTATATAGTTGCAAAACTACCTTCAAATACCTTTTCAATATCTGTCAAATCATTGTGAGGAATCCATTGAAGATAACAATCATTATCATAACAAGTTGCTTCAAGTTGTGTGCTTTTAATCAACTCATCTAATATTTCATTGCCACTAGTCCATTCTTTAGTTAATAATTTAGGGTCACATAATTGACACCATGAATAATTAGTATTATATCTATCACAAGTTGGACATTTGCCATATTTTTCTTTTCTTTTTATTGAATATTCATCATCGTCATTTTTAATAATATTTTGATTTAAACAAGTATTCATCTTTAAAATTTTATTTAATGCCAATCTGCGAATGGATTCCAATGATCAGTGATGCAAAAATGTAACCAACCTTTAATAAAAACAATATATTTGTGATACAAAATAAATTGTTTTCGTGTTATATTTGAATAAACATAGCGGGTATTCAATTTTAAGAAATGGTTGGCATAATTGCACCACACACAGTGTGTATGTTTTGTATACAAATTGACCCGTCATTTGACTTTAATTCGATCTTGCGCCAATAAAAATATATTCTGATTTTTCGCCTCTATTTTATAGACTGCCAAAGTAATTCAGTAAAAAGTGAAGTAATTCGGAAGTTAGTTATAGAAATCTTTTTTGCAATTAGAAAATTTTACATACTTAATTTAATATATAATATAATATATAGCTATATCTTAAGCAAATTCGCCTTATAGAAAATGGACGTCATACAAAACTTGCCTCAGGAAACACCCTCCAGTAGTGAATGTAAAGATAAGAGAGAAAGGTACAATATTGTGATTTAGAAGGCCAAGTGGCCGAAATTATTTTAGAAAATCCGAAATAGTTTAGGCTCCTAAACCAGTGGCGAAACTCAAAAATTGCCTAAACTGTGGGCGAAACTCCTAAACTGTCAAATCTATAACAAAACTTTAACTTTATAAATTTAGTTTTGATTTTATTATTATTATTATTATAAACAATTTTAAATTTTTTATTGAGGCACCTGAAAAATAATGTAATAATAAAAATTTTTAAAAATTGAAATTGTCATAAATGATGATGCCAATTCATTCAAATTATATTCCTCTTCCTCTTTGTCATAGCTAATATGTTTTCTTCAGATAAATAATCAAATCTATTTTCATTATCATCATCCAGATCTTGAAGATCATAACATAAATCAATTTTATTTTGAATAATTAAAACATAAAGGTTCTGGAAGTCCCTCATTAGCATTTATATCATTATTTCTAATGAAGATGTTTCTATATCATCATCATCCTCATTCTCCTTGTTATCATCTTGAGCTGCCAAAAAAAGTACCCAATAATTCATTTTCAGAAATATTTCCTTCTACTTGCAATTTGAGACATAATAACTAGTTATAACTATTTACACAATAATTATATAATAATAAAAGAATTAATTTAATTTAATACATTTCCTATTTTTTTATTTTCACCGAGAATCATGGCTAATTTGTCTTCAAATGAGCAACCACCACCATTAAAAAGCAAAACTAAACAGACACAAAGTTATAATTGGACATTGTTTATTTAATAGTCCAGGTCATAACATGCATAGTTAGAAATTTAAACACTAAGTTTTGTCAGTTTAGGAGTTTCGCCACAGTTTCAAGGGCGAAATTAGGCCTAAACCAAAATTGCCTAAATGCCTAAACTATAGGTTAGTTTCGGCCACCATCATTACCTCGTTCAACGAATCCATGGTACTGGATCATCAAAAATTCGTTGTTAATGATCGACATTTTTATTATCAAGATTCCATGTTTTTGTTTTAATAAACACAATTCGCGTGGATGGTGATGATTGTTGTTGAGACATTTTCAAAGTGAAGAATTTAATTAATTGTGTAGGATTAGGATTGTAAAAATTTGATAAAAGAAAGTTTCATCTTTATGTTTGAATTTGATGGTTTATTGTTCGTGTTATCCTTTTTATTTTCAATTAAACAATGGAAATCTTTTAATTTATGTCACGTGAATTCGCTAGTACCTTGATGTTATTATTGTTATTATAAAATTCGTTGAAACGAAAACATTTAATTAAAAAAAAAGGCCAATTTGCTGAAACGAGGTTTTGACTGTACCGTATTTATTCGCATTCATTCTATGCAAAGTTAATTTAAATTGATTTGTAATTCTGGCCCTGTTTTGTTGATGCTTAATGCTAATGATGATGTTGTATTGTGGAATAGCCTTCCTTCTCTTTAATTTAAATAATAAACAGTGACTAATCTATTAACAATTACAGTAATATGAGGACATATAATTCAAATTAGTATGAAGACTAATTTATCAATATGATTAATTTATTATATTTTTATCATGTTAATACATCAAAGACAAGATGTTGAACTAAAGAGTAAACTCTTAATTCTTATGTTAATTTTATTTTTTTGAAATTATGTATCAGCAGTCACTTTTTATATTTGATTGTTATCTCGTTTTGAGTAAACATTTCAAAAAATGTTTTAAATATATAAATGTAAACACATAATTAATTAATTCTTATGAATTAATAAATATTAGAAACGGCTGATATCTCTTCCAAATATTAATGTTAATAACCTATTTTTTTTTTAAAATTATATCAAACAAACAGTTAATAAAATAATTAAATTGTTTATTAAACAACTATTTTTGATACTTACCAATACATAGGACTGTTTTTAATTGGCAATAGTGCAGGAAAAAGACCATAAAAAGGTTTTCAATTAGTTTAAATATATATATTATTAAAAATTTTTAATACTACTACTTACATTAACACTTTATTTCGTAAAGAAACTGTCATTGTAAGATATGAAGATCTCCAAAAAATCCATGCAAGAAAACCACTTTCTTTAATTTGTTTAGATACAGTTGTCATATCAACGAGGGCTATTTTTTTTTATTTTTATTTTTTTGAAAAAATGAAATTTTTTTTTATATATATTCTATTCAATACTTGCAAATTTCAAATTACAAAATCTTGAATTACCTTCTTTTTTACCGATATATGCCATGCTACCCAAATTTGTAAATTTAAAAGGTTTAACTCCAATAAGTGATCCACCATTTTTGGCAATTCGTGTAAAAACTATATGAATATTTAAAAATCGAATTAATTGAAAAAGACTAAACTATGTATTGAATCACATATACACATATTTGCATTCAACATTTAATGAAATTACCCTTTCGTAAATAAAGAGCTTTTTGATTTGCAACTTGAGCAGTTGCAGGTAAATCATAATCTTTAATGGTTGCACAATCACCAAGAGCAAAACTAAAAAGGGAGGCGAGTGAGTGGGTGAATGATCAAATAAAAGAATACAAAAGAATTGAATGTAAATGAATTACACGTTATCAAATGGGTAACCGGATTCTTTATCCAATACTCTTAAAAATTCATCAGTTAATAACCGTTGTGCCGAACCATCTTTCATCACCTGATCAGACATTGATCGTGTCAAAGGATTTTCAGTGATTCCTGTATTGTTTATATTTAAAAGATAGGTTGATAGATTGATTGATAGGATATTCCTAAGAATTAATTACCAACCAACCAATTATTTATCACCGCCAACTGATCAATTATATCACCACCACCAATCAAATCACTTATCAACACTACTAACCGGTAGCCCAGACTAGCATTCCATAAGGAACTTCACCATCTTCATTTATGACCATGTGACGTTGTTTAACTTCCAATACTTTACGACCGGTTCTAATTTTTATACCTTTTCTCGTAAACTTTTTTGTTGCGTAGTCTCTAAGTGATTGATCAAAAGACCCAAGGATTTGTGGTGCAACGTCGTAGACTGTCATTGTGACCGAATTTATTAAACTGGGATAAAGTCTTGCCATATCTTCTGTGATGAAATCGTGCAACTCGGCACTGAATTCTATACCGGTAGGACCACCGCCAACAATAGCAAAATGCAATAAACCAAAAGCTTCTTCTTCATTAACCATTGGTTGACTTGCATGTTCGAAACATTCAATGACACGTTGACGTATTCTACGAGCATCGGACACATCTTTTAAGAATAAGGCGTATTCACCAACACCAGGTATACCGAATGTATTTGAATTTGCACCAACAGCTATTATTAACGTGTCATATTCAAGTTTGAATTTGTCTGTTTTACGTTCAAGATTTGAAGTACAATAAATTATTTGTTCCTTAAAATCTAAAAAAAAAAATTTTTTTTTGAAGTTTAATATTTTTTCTTTAAAAAAAATAAAATAAAAAACAAAGTCGTAGATTAAATTATTTATTAACATACCAACGCGATCAGCGTAAGCTTGATAATATTGTACTTTAGGTGAATATCTTCTTACAGGTTCCATTATGCATCTAAATTCCAAAGTTCCAACTGATGATGAAGCAAGTAATGGAGTGCTGTGTATGTGTGTATTTATGAATAGTGTGAATTATCTAAATTCGTACATCATAAAACCCAATGGGAGAAAAATTTTTACTTACAAAACAAAATAGTTTCTAAAATTTAATTTATAAAAATAAAAATAATTTAGAACTGGGAATTGGGATTGGATTGGAAGTTTTTTGTATATCACCTTGGAGAAACAACTATTACTTCGTGATGCTTTGTATCTATGTCTTTAAGTAATTTATATCCTATAACAACAACAAATAATAAGTGAATATTAATATTTTTAAAAATAAACTGTTAAAAGAAAATCAAGAAAAAGATTTTTTACCTGCCCATCCTGATCCTTTAAAGAATTAAAGAATTTTGTGATAAATACCAAAAAATTAAAAATTAAAGATTGATTTCTTTATATATAATATAACCTTACCAAGAATAACCAAGCGACCTAACAAGAAAGACGCAAAAATGAACGAATTGATAAATGAATAGATGAATGAATTAACGAATGAAGGAATGAAGGAAGAGATTAAATTCCAATTGATTAATTATTTAATTTCACAATTCTTGTATTATTTTTACCTTGAGTTTTCCCCAAAGAAGTAATATATTTTTTATCCATCATACGGTGATTTATAATAAATTTGTTCGATGGAAAAACCAAATCATCATGTTTTTTATTATTAGTTTCCAAGTGGAATTTACAATTATGATGGAAAATTGATGGAAAAATTGATTTTACAATTAATTTTTGTTGTTGTTGGAAAGTTGGTAAATGTTTTTGAATCACTAAAATTACCAAATATATTCATTAAACAAAGACAATTTATTTCAATTCAATTAATTGTATATAGTAAAAATCTTACAAAAATAATTTATTGCTTTAATTATTTTCATTTTTTTCTTAAATTTTTTAATAAATTTCAAGTGACTTCCTCGTGAATTTAAATAATTTTGTAAATATCATGTTTTATTATTATAGTATTTTGTATAAAATAAAATTTGGCAATGCTTTATTTTAAAAAAAAAATCACATGCTAATTATTTTTGGATTTAGCGATGTCAAACCATTATATGTAAACAAACATGTACTATACACAGTGAATCGGTGGTGAATCTCGATTTAGCGGATAGTTTGGACAATTAAAGAAAATTTTCCAAAACCTGTTAAACCGAGATGCTATATCGAGAAGGTTTTTATTAAGGTTTATTATGGAACCGTCCTTTGAACTTTTATCCGTAAAACCGATTAGTATCCGCTAAATGTGTATACAATATAAATAATATTGTAGCAAGTTTCGATGCGCTACGGTGCAGATCATCTATAATCATTAATCGCTTATAATAACAAGTAAGTTGAAATGATTTAGGTATGGTCTTTTTTATTTGGTAATTTAGGTATGATTTTTATTATATTTAAATTATTCAGATACATGTATTAAATT